ATGGGAGCTCGGTGGTGACGGCGCGTTGCCGACACCGATCACTCGCCAAACTCGCGCCGGGCCATCAAAATATTAATGTCGATATTAATCTCGATATTCATTTCCAGCCACGATCAAACTCTGGCAGGACCTTGAAACGGCGCTATAATAATTGCCGTAATTGGATCCTACAGGATCTATAATTAGCGTTTTCTCACAGCCGTTGGGCCAGGAAGCCGCTGCAGCCAGCTGTTACGGGCAATTTTACTGCTTAATTAATCTCGAAATGACCTTGCGAGTATTTACTGTTTCTTGTAATTGTTTTCGCCTCCGTTCACATTTGAATATAGAAAAAAAAAAAATTCACGCCATGCCTCCTCGGATTTCCCCCCGAAAAAAAAACCCACACACGACCCTGGGGTTTAATCTGGAAGCGAGCAGAGTCGGCCGGAGGGGAGACACGGATCGTTTAATCCTTAAACGCCCAAACAAGGGCACCTGGCCACGCCGAAACACCTTTAATCCGTCAACACCCGCGGGTGGCCGATTTTGCTCGTCGTGCCAGCGGAGATGAGCCGACGTCTTAATCCTCACCGGCCTCCCCCGTGCTCGCAGCCCACAGAAAAAAAAGTGGGAGAAGGAGGGGGGGGGGGCGAGGGGGGGGGGGCACACGTCCGCCCCCACCTTCAACTCTCAGCCGCCCCGTTGTCCTGTAGCACCCCCCCCCCCCGTGCTCACTACGCATCGTTAGACGCCTTAACCCCCCCACCCCCCTGCAGAGGCGACGAATAACGCACGCCGTGTCGATTGTTGTTATTGTTTCATCCCAGTTGTGCTCTCTCTCTCTCTCTCGTCCCTTGGGTTTATGGGGGTGAAGTCGACAGTGTGCGGCTGTTCTGCTGGCTCATCACATGGCTCCGTGGGCCAGAGTTCAAAAAGAGCAACGTGTGCCGCTGGATGGGAGGTGGTGGGCGGGGGCTTAGCGACGCCATCGGCATCATTGGTCACGTCACGCCGGGCGCTGCTTGGAGAGGGGTTTCCTGCCTTCAGAGGACAAGGATGTGGGGGGCGGCCGCCATTTTTAACGCGAGCAGAGTAGTCGAATGCAATGTTTTGCGGATGAATCGGCACAATCGAGTGAACGAATGATTGAATGAGCGAGCAGTACACGAATGAGCCGGCGAGTCAATGAATGAACGAGCGAGTTAGTGAATGAATCAACGAGCGAGCGAGCGACTGAACGGTCGAGCGAGCGCTGCAGGGGTTGACATCACAATTAGGCGATGCTTCACAAAATAATAGCATGCGACTCGCGCGTAAATAAATAAATGCGCTAGCTTAGCAGGGGGTACTGTGGATGTTGGTATGCGGTGGGGGATGCGGGGGGTGGGCGGGAACGTGGGGGGGGGGGGCAAACAGGGTAGAGAGGAAGGGGGGGGGGGTCTGCAAGGTGCTGCATTTAGAAAAGAACATCTCCGTTTCCATGACAACCCGCCTGCTTCCAGCCACGTGACACGTGCCGCCACGCGCAGCCATCTGCGTGGGGGCCCCCTGGGAGCCCGCCGGGTCCTCGCGAGCTCGCCCAATAAAATATTCATGCACCTACCCTAGTTTTCCCGTATTTCATTTCACGTTATCACTTTCGACTAACGTTTATCTTGCATTCCCCCACCCCCCCCCCGCTAGGTGTGACCTCCCACCACCAAACACGAGGGACAGGTGCCCAACCATGACCTCTGGCCCCCTGCTGACCCCCGTCCCCCCGCTGGTAGGGTCACAGCAAAGTGACGACGGCTACGTGATTGTGAGATCCACCAAATCAAGCCGGTGCTGCATCGACGGGGAGCGCGGGGGGAGGGAAGGGGGGGGGATGAGCATCTCCCCCCCCCTACACTCCAACTTCCCCCACATCACCCGCCACCTCAATTCCTATAGTCGTCAAAAAATGTTGGTTACGAAAATTAGTATAATTAAGCGATGGGCGTAGCAGCCGTTCCGCGTACGCACGGGGGGTGAGCGCCAGAGCAGAACGCTCGACAGACACCAGCGGATCGTCGCATCGTTACTCATTCCGTTTGGCATGTCTTATTTATAAAAAGTTTGTTTAACATTCACTGATGTCGTGCCCCCCTTCACACTCAACCACCCCCCCCTCCTTCCCGCTGAGCTTTTGAATGCCCACCACGGCGGTTGGCTTCTTTGCTTGAAACGAATCGGGTCGCTCGGGGCCGACCGAAAATAAGGACGACGATCACGGTGACGTGTGACCTGTGACCTGCGACCCGTCCGGGGGCCGCGCACCGCTGCGATCGATTCCACACGCGAGAATCATTCGTCGCCTTTTCCTTTCTGTTAGATGCCGTCCGTTCTTTCTCTCTTTCTTTCGGCAGCCGACGCCGCAAGAAATTCCGATCGCGGCAGGACAATCAAGAGACTCGCAGGGCGACGGGCCGGCTGAGGCTGCAGACGCCACGAGAGTGAATGTCAAGCTGCAAAAGAGTCGTGGTTTCCCGACCTCTTTCTCCCAGTGTCGTGTCCCCCTCCCTCCCCTCCCCCCTCCGCAAGTTTATTTCAGTTCCTCTTCAAATTGACGTGGGCCCTGTGAAATTTCGCTGCGCAGCGCGCGATGAACACGAGCCAAAGCAGAGAATACGCAAATAAACAATCGGACAATAATTCGACGACGATTCCCCCCGGTGACTGTTTGGGTTTTGCGAAGCCGCGATGATCGCATCGCACCGACCGCTGCTCGAGCCGTGGACGCGACCACCCCCCCCCCCCACTCCTCCACCCCCCATCCGCAGTCACTCGGGACGCTGTCAATCACCGACCGAGGTTCATAAACGTAAGGCTCAAAGGGCTCTTGCTTACCTAGTTGAAAATAACGGGTTCGATTTGCCTGGTGTGAGGACTGGGGGGGGGGGGGGGGGTGTGGGGATGGCAGTGGGGGGGGGAGGTTGGTGGGGGGGGGCAGTGTAAACGGTCACGCATCGTGGGGTAAATCGTGGGTATGACTCCTTACTCTTCCAAGACGTTTGACTGGCATAGAAGAGTGAATCTAAACACCCTTTACGCAGGGGGAGGGAGGGGGGAGAAGGGAGAAGGGGAGGGGGGGCTGTCTTTAAATGAATTGATTAAAAACTGCATTTTGTATTTATCCATTAAAGAGTTTTTTGTTGGGTTAGATCGCGTACATATAAAAGTGTCGTTAGACCCGCCACCACCCGACACAGCCAACTAGTAAGCGTTGTCACGTAAGCAGAACATTGATATATTTACGCGATCCAACCCAAAAATAAACCCCTCTATTACGGATGATATTGGTCGCGAAAGCCTGCTACGTGTTAAACTCAAAAGCCACTATTTTGCATTTAGTACATTAAGCTTCCTCGAGTTGGAGGCTCCTTCGGGCGGCAGCCTCGTGAGGGAGCGCTTGCAGGGTCTGCGCCTGTACCTTGACCGATTCAACAAACTCCCTGGAAACGACGCAGGCTAAGGGGGGGGGGGGGGGGGGATGGGTGGGGTGCTCGCGGCGTCGTGCGGAGGACGTCCCGGAGATTAGAGGGAGAATCCACCCTGTACCGAACGGCAAAACAAAGCGCAGCACGATGCTCGCGTCGATAATAAAGGGGGGGGGGGGGACGGAATTGGTTTCCATTCGTGATCTTTGGAGAAATCTTAAGGAGAGGCCAAATCCGAGAGCGATTGGTGGGAGAGGCCGGGGGGGCCGCGAGGGGCGGGCGAGTTGCACCGGGGCTACCGTGGCCCCGGGCCGGTGGTGGTCGCGATGTCTTTCTGAGATTGCCGAGATTAGCCGAAACATCGTTACCCCCCCCCCCCTACATCATCCCCTCCTCCTCCTTCTTCCTCCTCGCTCCGCTGTTTTTAGTGGTGCCGCGTGTTACCCTGAAGTCCCAGCGACAGAGAGCAGCCCTCGCTTTCACCAAACCATTTGTAAAAATAAATGAATGAATGAGTGAAGAATTAAACAATGTATGTACATGTATGTACGTATGTTGAGCCGCTCCCTGTCCACCCAGCGATGCAACGTCCGTAACTCTCAACTTATACGTACGTGTTGTACTTTTTCTGCACCGTACGTAGCCAGCCGTGCTAATCGGAGGCGCGGGGGAAGGACAGCAAACTTAACACAACAACAAGCAGTTCTAAACAAACGAGTTTTCAACCTAGAGTTACATGGCTATTGGGTGCCACCATCCTGTAAGTAAACTCGCCCCCGCCATAGGAACGTGGAACTTCCGCCACTGCCTCGGCACTGACTATAAGCATGAGACGAGAGCGATTTGCCTGAATGGCCACGTGAGAAGGACATCTCCGTCACTTTGGAATCACGCCGTCGATGGAGGCTCCCGATAGACGTGGCGCGTTGGGCCACAACGTAGGGCCACAACGTAGGGCCGCAACGTTGGGCCACAACGTTGGGCCACAACAATTCCAACAAACAATGCCAACCCACGGTGCCAACGTTGGGCCAAGGTTGCATGTTCGCTGGTCGTTCGTAACATCCAAACCGCCCGGAGAATGTGTCCGGTCTCGCCACATCGCGGACGCAAAGCAGGGTTTGAGCCTGGACAGAGCTTGGATGGGCCACCACCGTGCGTATTGTGTTCGGCAGAGTGCGGCGCATTGTGTCCGTCTATGATGTCGCGTCTACGCTTGCACGGTGAGAGGAGACGGGACTGCAACAGAGAAAACTCACCTTGCAGACAGGGAGATAATACTCAAAAACCCCGCACGGGTGGACTCACGAAATCCACCGTTTGTACTGCCATCAGCAGGTGGTCTACACCAACCCCCACCTCCACCCTGCCGGACGTGGGCATCAGTGAGTCTGTGGGTCCATGGGTCCATGGGTCTGTTGGTCCATGTGTCTGTGGGTCCGTGAGTCTGTGCGTTCGTGGGTCCATGAGTCGATGGGTCTGTGATTCCGTGTGTCTGTGGGTCCATGTGTCCGTGAGTCCGTGTGCGCGCGTGGACGTAAGGAACAGCGCAACACTCACCGCGCAGTACCCTCAGCTTGACGCTCTTCGAGATCTGGCCGAGGACGTTGGAGGCGACGCACTCATACTCGGCTTCGTCGCGCGCCGGCCGCAGCGGCTGGATGCGCAGCACTGAGCTCGCTCCGTTGTCGTAGTCGATGATCTGTGCATGCGGGGGTGGGGGCGGGGCACGGAGGAAGGAGGGGGGCCGTGTCAAGACCGAAGGCACGCCACGTGCCGGTCGCCTGCGATCGAACCTTTCACAAAAAAACGATGCATCGTTGATGTTCAGAAGGTGACGATTATCATGAGAGCGGGTGGGCAGGCACCGTCGCCGCGTTGTTTGGACCCTGCCGGCTGGCGGGAGAGACCGGAGGTCACGCACCTCGAACCTCTGGGAGCTCAGCTTCTTGCCCTTCTTGGCCCAGGTGATGTTGGGCTTGGGGTCGCCGGTGGCCCGGCACACGAAGGACGCCACGCCGCCCGACACTCCGACCTGGCTTTCAGGTGGGTGGGTGAACCGCGGTGGAGCTGCAGGAGTTAGGTGGTTGGGGGGGCGGCACAAAGATGCGGGCGTCAGCATGGTGTCGGGACGATCGGCGCAAGCGACGGACGTTTCCAGAGTTGTTTGCGGTGTCAATCACTGACAGGGCTGCAGACAGATGCAGCGAGCCACAGTCACTGCTTTAGTCATTTACGGCACCGGCCACACTCCGCATGACACACGGCAATAAAGACAAGATCCCCATTTAGGCTTTTAGACTGTTGGGTTAGAATGCTGTGAATGAGCAGCTATCAAGGCCGGCACGGTGAATGAGACAGTGGTGTGGCCAGCATCATACCAGGCCGTCTTTGTCTTCCCCGTGCTGCTGCTTACACACCTAACCAAGTGCTCATTTTTAAGTCGACCTAGCAGAGGAGGTCCAGGATCAGTTCGCTCCAAGTACTCATTTGAGGCTGAGTCGACCTAGGGGAGGCCCAGAACCGGTTCAGATAATCATCACTGCTGTTGGACCGTGAGCGGGAATTTAACTTGGGTCGTAGGTTCATGCACAATCGCGCTAGCCGCTGCACCAACGCTCACACTATTCACACAGCATGCACAGCACCATGCACCCTCTCTCCTAATCACCAACACGTTCATCCATATACTTCAAACAATTTGCGTTACTTTACGGGCAAAGCACAAATGACTGCAGAAAGGTCAGCCACTCTGTTACTGTGCCACCGCAAGCCGATTATTCAGAGATACACTGAATATTAAGCTCTGCTGAAAGTAAAGACACCAGCCACAGTTGCGCAATGGTGTCCATGCAACCCACACTATGGACCACACAGTAATCCCATAGAGAATCACAGAGATACATAGAGATACATTAAAGACACAAGCCACAATGTGGCCATGCCACCCACACTATGGGCCACACAGTAAACCCATAGAGACTCACAGAGATACATAGGGACTCATAGAGACCCATAGAGATACATTAAAGACACAAGCCACATTTGTGTTATTGTGGCCATGCCATCCACACTATGGCCCACACAGTAAATACATAGAGACACACAGAGACCCAGAGAGACACATTAATGACACAAGCCACAATGTGGCCATGCCACCCACACTGTGGGCCACACAGTAAACCTATAGAGACTCACAGAGATGATATAGACTCATAGAGACACACAGAGATATATTAAAAACACAAGCCACATTAGTGTTATTGTGGCCATGCCACCCACACTATGGCTCACACAGTAAACCCATAGAGACTCACAGAGACCCATAGAGACACATTAAAGACACAAGCCACAATGTGGCCATGCCACCCACACTATGGACCGCACAGTATCCCCACTGTGGTCTGTGCCCCTTCAATGGAGCAGGAGGAGGAACAGCAGCACCACATGAACTCTCTCTCTTTGCTGAAGCCATCTCGTCGTGCCAGTAGCACCTCCACATTTTACATCAAGATCCTGGACATCGCTGCTGCTGCTACTGGTGATTTAAAAAAAAATTCTAAATAAATCACACGCCCCTGCTCGTTCTGAAGAAGAAACACGGCAATTTTTGCCGATGCACCTGGACATTAAAAGTAAAACTTGCTTGTCTGTGTCAACCGTCCCACCAAGTGAGCGTTCGTGTCAACAAGTGCTACCACCACCCCTTCTCCACCCCAATTTCACCAACCCGCGCTAACCAGCGTGGTAAAATATGGCCCAAACAACCCCCCATGACTGCTGACACGGTGTGCGCAGAGGCCTTAATCATCCAGCAGTGGACTGACGAAAGGGGCTGTAAACGATGACAACTTTATTAAATTGTAATTTAGCAGGCACGTAACGACCAGTATCAATTCTTCGGTTTCCATTCTCATGCTCAAGATGCTACAAATATATTACAACGTATGCAAATTATATGCAAACGAGATGATTATATCAGGTGTTGGGCTAAAGGTGTAAAATGAGACTACAAATGAGACGGAGATAAAAAAAAACCTCGACCAAGATATTTTATTCTGTGAATCAAGAAAGGGACCTCAAATAACGATAACTGAATGACTTCAGGGGCCAGGGGAGCGGGAGTTAAGTGCTTAATTAGGGCTCCACAGTAGCGAGATGTTAACTACCTCGCCTGGTGTACAGGAGGTCGTGGGTTCGATCCCAGCCCTGACGTGATGCCTGTATATTTTGAGTTTGCATGTTCTCACCCGTTTTTCCCTCCGCATTTAGAAACACGCGTTAAAGAGTATTTAGCTGCAATGCATTTCCACATGACGAGTCACTTCAATGCGCTCTCGTTCATGATGGGCGTGGAGGCCCTCATCCAGCAGTGGACTTACGAAAAGGTCGGGCGCGTTATGGTTTTTCCGCTACTGCACAACCTTTGTCTCTAACCCCACCGGCCGTGTAGAAGACTTGCCGTTTCGCCAAACCCACTGACCCGCCCATACCGGACATCTGTGCAAAAAAGAGCTTCATAGCTCATCGGATTTCCCTCCCGCAGTCTAAATAAAGATTACTATTCTTTCGGTCTGCTCATAAAAAAACGCGCAGAAGGCCGCACCGCGCTCAGGACGAGTGCGTTTCGGGGCGCAGACATCGGATGCGCAGCGCTCATCTTTGACGACGAGGTGGGCTAAATTATTATTTTTTTAAACATGAAAGACAGGGGTGGGGGAGACGAACGATTGGGAGCAGATGGGCCTAAGCACGCTCCCAATTATTTCATATTACTGGCTTAGTCGCGCCCGTATGCCGGCACCACTGTCCGCTGCCAGTACTCTAATCCTGGCCGCGAAGGGGCCCGGGCGTGCGGGGCGTGCGCGGCGGGGCATGTGTGGCGTGCGGGGCCAGCTCGAAGCTTCCACGGACCCTGCCGCTGGGACGGTGGCCACCAAGGATATGCCAGCAGTGGACGCCGGCTGCCACCCTCTCCTCCCTGCACACCCCGGCGGCGCCGCTTTCGCGAAGGGTCGCGCCATTCGTGCGCTCGCACTTTGGAAATATGGCACCCGTAAAATTTTTCAACGAAACTGTGTTTAATTTGACAGGGTAAGGCCCCCTGAGCTGTGTAGCTCTTTTTTGTTTGAGAATTGACCTGGCCACAAATGATAGCTTAAACGAAGTGGCTCATCACGTGGACATTTATTGCAGCCCAAATACTCTAAACGCACATTGATTCTAAATGCGGAGGGAAAAAAAACGAAAGACCCGGAGAAAAATCCACGTGACCACGGGGAGAACATGCAAACTCCAGGGTCAGGATCGGACCTATGACCTTCTGTATACCAGGGGAGGGAGTTAAAATCTCGCCACCGTGGCACCCTCTGATATGGCTAAGAGAGTTCTAGACACTCGCACCGAATTGTCAATGGAATTTTATCGAGCGCTTCACTCCACCCCCCCTCCCTTCAATGAGGCGACACTAATGCTGATTGTGCTGACGATGGGGCCTTTAAATGGTCACGCACGGTAGACTTAGCGCCGCACCAGTAAGCAGGTCGTCGCGTAGATTTAATATGATTAGAATTCAGCAGAACCCCTCCGATCAGCGACAAAGTGGAAGGGCGAATTTCCCGCACCCTATCTGTAATCTAATCAATTAACAATATTATTGCGTTATACGCTGCGTCAATGGCGCAATTGAATCTCGGAGCGCCGTCGATCGCGAGCCACAACGGCGCGCGAGACGGAGCGTTGGGGAACATGACACGGACGCGGTCGCGGGAAGAGAAGGCACCGGAGTAATCCGGCACCCCTCTAAGGGATGGAACGCGTCCGGAGCGGGCGTCCGACGCAGGGAGACACGGGACCTACACGGAGTGCTGCACCGTGAGGACAGCGAGAGATGGCGGCCGCTTGGGGAGGCCTTCACCCAGCAGTCGATATGTAATAAAGGACTCTCCCTCAGTGTCGATCTCCATTGTCCTTTATTTGGGTTCGTATAAATCTGGCTCACACGGCGTCCTCGCTCAGGCCCGCGTCTCCTCCGACGATCACTCCACAGCCACCCTGCTGCTCCGCCCTGCAGCCACACTGATGCTCCGCTCTGCAGCCACCCTTCTGCTCCGCTCTGCAGCTAGCCTTCCACAGCTTGCTAGCCCTCTGCGTCCTGACACCGATGGCTGACGGTGCCGATGTCTGCCAACACGTGGCGATCGCGCCACCCTCCCCGTACTGCCCAGCGTGGCCTCCTCCTGTTTCACTCCGTCTCAACTCCCCGATCCCCTTCCGGTTCTCTCCCTAAATCCTCTCCCCCACGTGACCCTAACTCCTCCCTCTCCTCACGTGACCCAGACTCCGCCCCCCTCAATCCTTGCTCGCATTATAGATAGATCACGACCGACGATGGTGGTGACGAGAACCGGCCCCTTCTACATTTCGCAATCTCTCATCGTCGTCCCCGTCTATATGGCAACATCTATTTTGAAATCCCACTATTCACCATCATCATCGTCGCTGTCATCTACAGCCAGGATCATTCCACTGCTGGATGAATGCCCTCCAAAGCCATCCCCATCACTCGCGGTCTTGGAAAGCAACAATCGATGAAACAACTGTCCCTTCTATTCGACATCCTCTCTCCCTCCACACTGCTTTTTGTGTTTCGTGTTGTTGTCCTTCCAACGCGCACCTCCGATTAGCGCGGTTGGCTACGTACGGCGCGAAAGAAGTTCAACATGTATACACGCTATTGATTACGACTCATCCCATCCTACCTGGCATCCTCAATTGTCTACCTGTTACTCGGTTTCATCGTATCTGGGGGACCCCTTCTCTCCTGCACCGCTATTCGGCATCACAAGCCCTCTGTGACCCGAGGGGGTAGGGGGGGGGATCGCCACCGCTGCAGCCGCAGCAGCGGCAGCATCGTCAGCGTGCTGACAAAATCCATAATGCCACGCGCTCCCAAAAAAAACAAACATTGATACAGAGGCTGACAAATAAGCGTGCGGCGTTGATAACATCGGGGCCAACCCGCACAATCACAGGACTTGGGGATTAGCGCGGATCTGATATTTTTGATT